TAATTACCTCTGTTAAAATTTTGACTTAATCTTTCTTAAATATTAAAGACTAAAACTTGCAGCAAAGTCTTTGGTTTAAATGTTTGTGTTCTTATTCAAATAAAAAATGTTAGAACTGTTTTGATTGTTTCATTTGCAGCATCTCTCTTAGTTTTTGTGGTAAAGTGTGCAAATTAACATAAAAGCACATGACAAGCAGTTGCTTGCTTAGATCTTTTTTAGTTTCAATAAGAATGGTTTTTAGTTTAAAATTTTATTTTTTTTGTTTTGTTTAATTTTTTAATGTTTAATATTTAACATCTTAATGTTTATATGCTATTTAAAAAAAATTTGAAATAAGTTATTAGTGTAACCAGCAACAAAAATAGAAAAAATGACAAAAATGATACAATTTTGCATAAAACTAATAATAGATTGTTTATGTTATTAAAAGAAACATTTTCTTATTTTTGATACTGTTAAAATAAGAAAAGAAGAACATTAATTAGTATAATATTCCAACTATTATTCTGGTAAGTTCGAATCTTTGTATTTTTATATGATTATTATAAGGTAAAGAATATTGAAAAGTACAACTAATTTACTCTGGTATTTACAACTTTTTTTTTGTTGATTATAGAAAAGTTTTGAAAAATTGTGTCAATCTTTAAACTTGACACAATTTTTCAAAACTTCATTTGTGTGCTTATAAATACTATTATTATTTCATCAGTGCAACTTATTATTTCATCAGTATAACTTTTTTTTGTTTGCGTAAGAGTTCGGTTATGTAAACAAACAAAAAAGTCAAAAACGTCATGTACTAAAACTCTTCGGAATAAAATGCATTTGAATAAATTATCAAGTCTGTAGATTGCAGCTTATATTATGCTGACTTTTTGACCTACAATAAAACAGTGAAGGCAAGCTTCAACTAAAATAAAAAAGTTAGTTTTTCTTGGTTTTCATTTATTTTTTTGTAATCAAAAAAATTTAGTGCAAACATTTTTTTAAATCATTCTCTTTAATATGAACATAACATGTCTCTAAGGTTTGGGATCGTTTTAAACTTTAACACTTAAAAATTGTCTAAAAATTATCTACTCAGAGTGTTAAAAATACTAGTGCTAAAAATGGTTAAATTCTAAAACAAAACAAACTAATTACAAAAACAATAAATTATTAACAAATTGGCAATAATACATTAATTAACAGTACAAACCAATGGAACCAATATAACAGAATATAAAGCTATACTTACCTTAATTGAGTTGATTTATTTATTTTTTAAACTGTTAACTAATGATCCATCAATTAAATTTTAAATCATAAATTTTACTATAATATATAAAGTTTACTAAATTAAAACTGTATTTTTTACTAAATTAACACCTGATAAACTAAAGCAATGATGATATGATAAATGATAGAATGCCAAAGTAGAGCTAAAGAAATCAAATAATAATAATAAAGAGTTGACATGTTTCTAATAAAAATCATACAAATGAAATATAAAAGATAATCCTTCTATTTTTGGGTGATGTTTGTAAGTATATATATATATATATATATATATATATATATATATATATATATATATATATATATATATATATATATATATATATATATATATATATATATATATATATATATATATATATATATATATATAACCCTTTTAATTAAGTATACTTCATAGTCAAATTTTAAAGTATTTTACTTTAACAATTTATATTTTACTTATGTACTTTATAAGTTTATAAAGAGCGTAATAAAAAATACTAAAATTATCAACACAAAAAATTTTGTAAATAAATAAAATGTTGTTGAAAGCAGAGATATATATATTTATAGGGATAAGTACACATTAAGAAAAATAGAAATATATATTGTTAAATAAAAATAGTGCATTTTCCCCTTTATAGTCAAAGGTGACATTAGATTAAGATGAACAAAATGTCATTGTATATAAAGTTGAATAACAAAAAACTTTAAGAAAATGTTATAAAACACAATGTTGATTCAAGTCTTACAATTAAAAAAATATAAAAAATAACAGCCTTCTAATTCTATTGTAATTCAAAGTACAGAACATATTTAGTCCAAAGTATTGAATAAAAATTAGCCCAAAGTACCAAACAATAAAACAAAATTACATCAGAAATAGGGCTTCTCAAACAAGATCCCAGGATCTCGTTTTCCCAGGATCTTGGAGGTAAAAAACCGTCCCGTTATCCCAGGATTTCAATGAAATCTCCCAGGAATCCCAGTAAATTTTTTAAACATATTTTTACTCATATTTTGAGTAATAACATTTTAAATATCTTTACAAATGTAAAGATATTAAAATATTATCACTCAAAATTTGAGTACTAACTACTTCCTTTTCCCTTTTATAATGAATTTCTATAAAAGTTAGGAAGATATCTTATAGAGGGCAATTAAATCACCAATATTTTGCAGTTTTGGTTTGTGTCAAAGATAGATAGAATATTATTATTGAATTTGATTTATAAATAGATTTGATTTACTTTTATGTTGTAACTTACAGCATATATAGCTTGAACAAACGAACCAAATCAATATAAAATAACCACGGACAAGTTACAAGTACTTGTACATGCAAAAAAAGTAATTAGTTACGCATAAAAGTGATTAGTTAGTAAGTAAAAAAATTAGTTACGTTAAGAAAGTAGTTTGTATGTAAAAAATGAAATAAGTGAAAACCAAGTAAGTGAAGTTTAAAATATATGTTTAGTAATTACAGCTAATTTTAAATAATTTATGTAAATCTACTATCAGCACACTATTTCGGGATTTAATTGTAGGTAATATAGTTTTATATTTATATTTTAATCTATTTAATTAATAGGATAAAAAATATAGCGCATTATGTCAAGTAGATCTAAGGCATGGTAAAATTTTACAAAAGAAAAACACAGAATTTGCCACTTGTAATATATGTAAAACAACAATAATGTGCAAAGGATTTTCAACTAGTGGCCTTTTTCCTCATTAAAAAAATCTTCACGAGGTCAAAATTGAAGTACCGAAAAAAAGGCCAAAGGAAGACACAAGTTTTGAAGTTAGAAATGGTCAACCTAAAATTACGTCATTTATAAAAAAGGAATCTGTAGAAGAAATTGTTTAAAAATTGGCGGCTGTAGATGGTTTTTCTATTAATGCTATTGCAAAATCTGAATTTATGAGAAAATCTTTATCTGAAAAAAACTATTTCAGATAAAGAAAATCTTTATCTGGAACAGCCTTCTTGCAATGTTAGAGCAATTTATTACATTAAAAACATGTAAATTAAAAACATTGATAGATTTTAAACACACCAATATTAACAATATTTCGGAGGAGGAATATTTTGTGGTACAGACTGTAGGTTGTAACGGCGTTACAACCAATTAAATTGGGAATTGAAAGACTTGACCAACGCATTGCATCCCTACTTGATGCAGAGGGTGTATTAGTGTTTATATTTGATGTTTTGCACAAAAATAAAGATTGTTTTTTGGTTAAAATGCTGCAGTATGTGCTACAAAAAATTGTTGAAAGACGGAATAAAAGTGTAGTTGGCTTGCTAAATTATTTAAATAATCCATCAAATTATAATCAAATCGAACATAGATTCTGTATTATTGTTGCCTTCCAAATCAGTCCTTCAAGCTACGGCTACAAAATTATTTTCTAAGCTTTTTGTTGAGGATGTTGATGGTGGTGGAAATTACACTGAAATTGAAAAATTAGAATGCAGTAATGACAGGACTGAAACTTCGATTATGGTCAAACAAAATTTGAAGACAAAATCTGAATCAACACTTCATCAAAAATTGGAAGCTGCCATTACGAACGTTAGTCGAATTAAGAGTCCAGAAGATGTGTTATATGACGTTAACAATATTACAAAAGAAATGGATATTTTTGATGCAACGAAAAAGCATACAAATAATTTAGACATATTATAATGCTCTGTTAACTATCCCACCGACTTCAATCAATTCAGAAAGAGTTTTTGCGGCAGGTCTTTTTATTACGAAAACTCAGTCATCATTAAGTGATAGCGCTATTGACAATTTATGTTTTTTAAAAAATTATTTTAAAAGTTAATATATATAAAATATAGTGTTATTGAAGTTTATATTTGTTTTATTTTGAGAGTCTTAGTTTCTAAGAATTATTTTGTCTTTATTTTCTTGTTAAAAGTAATAGTATTTAAACCACTTTTTTTTGTATTTGTTTGAACTTACACATCCCCTCCCCCCCCAACCAGTTTGATAAATTCTTGCTTGTTAACTAATCCTGGGATTTCTCGGGATCCCGGAAAGTTAATCATTTTTGTCCCAGAATCCCGGGAATTAGATTTTTACAAGAAATGAGAAGCCTTAATCAGAAACTACATAAAAAGCAATTGAATATAAAATGAATAAAACTGAATATAAAGTTAGAATGACACTTTTGGTTCCTGTATTATTTTTAGAGTTCTTGAACATTCTTTGGTAATAATATTATGCTTTTATTGTTATTATAAAAAAAGTTTGTTTTTTATGACTTGCATAAATTTATTAAGTGCATTTGCCCTGTATTAAACAAAATAAAATATTTATTTACTTCTATATGCAAAACCTTGTAGAATCTTCACTTAGTTTACAAATATTTTATTCATATTTCCCTTTCTAAATGAATTCATATGCATCTTCATTTTCATTATATAAGAAGATATATAATGAAATTGAAGATATGCTATTATGTACCTTCATTTTCATTTTATTTGAAGACTTAAGTAAGTTTATGGAAAACTTCAAATTTTTACTTTAAAAAGAATGCTTTTCTTTAATTGATCTTTGATTTAAACATTATTTATAAAGTATTTATTCACTAATTTGACATAAAAACAATTAAATTTTTTTTAAACATAATTATAAGGTTTTTAAATAACAATTATAGTTTGTGTAAAATAACAATTATAAGCGAAATTATAAAAAACTGTTTTTTTTTTTTTTTCATTTTAGTGCATTGTTTGAAAACAAAGGAAATTTGTTCTTTGTTGAAAAAAAACTGTCTTATTTTAATTCTTTAATTGAGATGTTGCAGTGCGAAAAGGTTACTGGGTACTATTTCCTAAATTATTTGGAAAAGGTCAATAATTCTGTGAGTTTTTTTGTTTTATTAAATTTTTAAATGGCATTTTGAATGTTAAAAATGGTATCTTGAATGTTAAGAAATGGAATTTTAATGTTAAATTTTATTTATTTTGAATGTTAAAATTTAGAAAGCATATTTTTTATCATCTTTATTTTTATCAACTCCTAATGTTTTAATTTTTTATTTTTTGATATTATTGAGTATTTTTACTTATGAGTTTTTTCCATTATTTTTACTTATCAGTTTTGCCAGAGTTGCTATTTATTATTACTTTTCAGTTTTGGCAGAACTGCTATTTATTTTGGAAATCAGTTCAGCAGTACCATGACTTATTTTTTTCTTCTTCATTCTCACCTGATTCTGTGAAAAAGAAAGTTAATGTAAATATATATATTTTTTTGATTCCACATTATAATGATGAATTTATATGTAGTATGTCAATATAAAATGTTGAAATAATAATTAAAATGTTACCATATGTAGTTTATAAGTCTATTAAAAGTTTTTTTTGACTTTTCTGACTTTCTGATGACAAAAAATTATTTTCAAAAAATAGAAAAGTTAAATAACTTGTTCTTTTTTTATTTATGTTGTTAAGCATGCTAAAATATGCAAAATATCTGCCTCACCTGCCATTTTTTATACATAAGACATAAATGATTTGACAGTTTTAACATTTTATCGATGCAAATAACTCGCATAATCGTACACACACAAATTATATTACATGAAGCATTATTGGAATATGTTTCATTTGTTTTACATATTAGGTTGAATTTCTCGGCTATAGATTTGCCTTCATGCTGTTTTTGACTAAATTGTTGGGAATTTTGAAGAGCATGTTGCAAAGCTGTTTGCAGGCACTAAGTCTTTGAAGAGGTTGCCTGCAAAATGGCTGTATTTTTATTTGTAAACCTATAAATACACCCTCCATAACTCAGCACTTGTTGTTGTTGCATCATACTTTAACAACTCCAGAAACTTGTTGTGCAGGTTGTAGACTTTGACATAAAAATGCTTTATATATAAAAGCATTTTTATGTCAATTTTATAAAGAATACTGCTTTCAGATTTGACTTGGATGAATTGATAAAAATTTACAGTGTATCAATGATATGCTCAACCCTAAGACTTGTCATAAGAAATTTGTGTTGTAGCAAATACTGTCACTCATTGCAAAAAATTGCACAAGTTCTTTGTTACTATGATGAAACTGTAAAGTATTTGTACCCTGTGCCAGTTAATGAAGTTTCTAAAGATGTGAGCTAAGCTGTTCATCTTGATCTTTAGTTAGTATTAGGTTTCATGCAAGATTACAAAGTTTAGCATTATCCAATAAATATTTTTCATTGTCTGAGCTTTTTGTATAAAAATAAAATTTCTCTCTTGTTTTTCTTTATTAGTTGTGTATCATGGAACTGTACTTGAATAATTAAAACATCTTTTCATGTCTACAGTTTGTTTTTGATTGTAATAAAATGGAAGATTAACAATTTAATACAGGCTTTTATTTAAAATATTACACTGTAACATTTTAAATAAAGGTCAAATTTTTAATTTTTTAAATGTCAAATATAAATTTGCTAAAACAATTTTATTAAGACTATTTAAACTGTGTTAAAAAGTGTGGTTTCATTCAGCTATTATGTTGTAAATGTTATTCTATTGGTGTGTTTTTGATTTTAAAGCTTGTTTAACATTTAGACTGTTGTTATATATGTTATACATCTTTTTACGTATATTATTTTAGTATATCTACTCGATTTTTATCTGTCCAATGAGTAAACATGATTTGAAATTACCTGAGGAAGTCAACAAAATAATTTATGATAAACTAGACCCTCCTTATGAAGATCTGTTTGATAATGTTGAACAAGAAGTTTTGTTGGTATTATTATTACCTTTTGTTCAACTCATCGAAAATGAAAATCTTGAGTATGAAATGGTATTTAAAGATTATTTTATTTATTTTAAATTTAAAACTATTAATTATAATTAAGTAAAGACAAAAATAGAATTTAAAAAATTTTATTAGAATTAAATATGCTAACTTATTCAGTAAGAAAATTCACTATATAACCTTCATTTAATATCTTTTTTAAAACAATCAAGTTAGTTATTCATGAACGCTTTGATTATATTCATGATGAAAATACTTCTGATTTAAATAGTAAAGTTCAAAGTAAAATTGAAAAGGAATGCTTCAAGGTAACTTTGCTGAATAAATATGTTTTTTTGATATTGTTGTTTTTCTTTTTATTCCTAGTTTTAATGTATAATTAAATACATAACTGATTTTTAAATAAAATCTAAAAAATATATTTTATGTAGAGTTTATTAGAAATAGGTATGCAAACAAATCATGATAAACAAGAGAATGATGATTTTATCCAGTTACTTAAAAATGAGGACAGTAGAAGAAGTTTTCAAATTTTCTTGGAAACCAATCATAAAATAGGTAACTTTTTTGGAAAGATTAAAAATTATGTTAGTTTTAAAAGTACATAGTTTTCAAATTATTGTATTAATAACTATAATAAAGTAATAAATATCATAAAAAACTGAGTTTTAACTTGCTCCCTGTTTTGTTGACAAATTTTAAATTGATAAAGTTGCTAAAGTCATGTAATTTTATTTTTTTCTAAAATAAAATTTTTAAAATACATCAACTAAATTAATTAAATCTTAAAATCAATTTTTTATTTGAAATTTATTTGAAAATCATTATTATTAAACATTTGATTTGAGACTAATGTTAATTGCATTTTTTCTAGCTTAAACAGACTGTTGGACAATTTTCAATTTCCCTATAAAATCATCCACTTGGGTTGTACCCTGATTAAGTTGGACCATTCAATAACTCGTACTGTTTTTTGGAGTCCCTTTAGCAAAAAACTTTACTAAATTTGGACTTTTATTTTGAATTGAATAAAAGTGCATAAAATAATTAAACTTCCAATACTTTAATAAAAGTTTCAAACTTTGAATGCTCGAAAATAAAATACCAATGCGTCAAATAAATATTTTCACTGATATCTTCGATTTGGTTAAGTTTCAATTAAATTCTATTTATTTATAACAATTATACTAAAAATTGTAAACTTAAAATGTTCGAAAGTTAGATAACTTTGCTTCAAATATAATTTAGCAAACAATTTTCATTATTATTTTCAATTTGGTTAATCTTTGATTAAATTTTATTAAAAACTACAAAGTTTGCTGATTTATAAAATATATATAAATATGGATTGATGTACTCCAACTGGTGCATCACTCTGGCAGAGTGATGTATTCTAATTGGTAAAGTTAAACACTCTAGCAGAGAGTACATCACTCTACCAGTTTGAGTACATCACTCTACCAGATTGATGTGCACTAACTGGTAGAGTATATTGCTCAACCATATGACTCATTAAATGTGTTTAAACATAAATATATAGTTATTGCTGTTGTCTCTGATAACAACACTTTAAGAATAAATATAAACTCTTATATTTATTGTTAAAGTGTTGTTATCAGAGACAACAGCAATAACTATATATTTATGTTTAATCATGTTTAATGAGTCATTTATATAGAAATTTTGTATTTTATGATAATAAGCCTCTAGGCTTTTAATCATAAAATACAAAATTTCTATATAAATAGACTATATATCTATTTTATATATTTGAAGACTATTATTGTTAACTTATGTTTTTTTCTATTAAACTACAAATGGTATATTCTTTAATGACAGGTTTTATGGATCTAATGGCCTATATTGACATGCAAGATTATGTAAATATTTCAGATCTATCTTATAAAGACACTCAAGCATTGTACATTTCTCAAAAATGGTTTAATGAAAATTATTTCTTAGGATCTAATTCACCTGCACCTCTAGAAATTGTGAAAAATGTATGTGGTAAATTTTTAATCAACAAGTTTGACACTTTATAAAAGTGTTTATTATAATTAAATTAAAATATAGTTTTTAGCAGTATTTATATTTTTAACAATGTATTTTATAGTTGTTGTTTTTTTGTTTGTTTTTTTAAAGCTTTTATTGTTTGACGAGAAAGTTAGTGATTCTATTTATCAAGTACCTAATGAATTAGCAATTATAGAACTGCAAAAATATGTCTACAGGCGTTTGGAGCATTTCTATTTGAATATGAAATCAAACAAATATTTGCAGAATGCTAAAGATGATTTACCTAAAAAAATTATAGTTTCAAAAAAAAAAAATCAAATTAGATATCTGAACCAGGTAACATATTTTTTAGAGTTTAATAATTTAAAATATGTTTATATTATCAAAATTCTTTTTATTTATTCTGGTTTTGCTATTAGACTTATTTTTTATTATTCTCAGTAAAAAAAAATAACAATAAAAAAAAGTAATGTTTATACATGGTTAAGTAAATAGATTTCCATTTTATCTTTTTAACTTGACATTAAATAGTTTTATTCTCAAGGAAATCCAATCCAGGTTTTTATTCTTTTTATACCCCTACCCATTAAATTTATACACATCAGTTTTCACTATGTCTATGAAGTTTTACCATTTTAATAAAAAAGTTTTCACATTAATGCTTACCATCAGATTTCTGTCATCTTTGTTTAAACTTACTCGGTGGTTATATAAAAATATCTAAACATTTTTTTTTCTCAAATTCATAGCTCTTTATATATTTATTATAAAGAGCTATGAATTTGATGATGAAGTTGTTTTTCATTTTTAACATATGAAAAATAAAAATAAAAAATAAACAAATGCATTACTATAGCTTTAATTACTGAGCTATTACTAAGGTATAACAAAAGAATTTTTTACTTAGCCAATTCAATTATGTTAAAAAAAAGTTTGTTGTTTTCAATAAAATTATTATAAGTGAAACTAGGCAAATTGAAGTCAGTTGAGCATATAATTTTGCCACTTCTGGTCCATTTTGTTGAGTTTAATCCTACATTTTAGTAGAGGAACACTTTTTGTTTGCCAATTATTTTCATATACAAAATGTTAAATTGAGCCTAAAAGTAATCAAGTAGTTGTGCTTATAGAGCATTAATTGGATTTTTTACTTTTGACATGTGTTTGATTTTATTTGTGTCAAGAAATTTAGCAGCATCATCAGAATAGTGTGAACTACCTAAATCTAGCCAGAACAAATATATTTAATGGTAATAATAACTTACTTTGACAATCAATGTATCTTTCTTTATTAATTGCCAAGCCATTTTTGATGAGATGATTAATGAGATTACTTTTTATTTTTTTTTCAAGGATTTGAGATAAATGGTTATAGGTTTTATGTGAATTTATTATCATGTAAAGTTAGTTTTGTGTTATCATGTATTGTTAGCATGTAAAGTCTAATTTCTGATTTATTTTTAAGATTGTGATTTATATAATGATGGCTGCAATTGAATCTTTGAGCTGCTTGACGTTGGGAAACTCAATCAGAGGCATATTTTGATCTTATTTAAATTCTTTTTATCTATTTTTTTAACTTCCTTTTTTATCTTTGATACCTTAAAGTATTTTTTACATGATCAAGAACACAATAGATTTTGCTACTAACTACCTTCATCTAGAAAATTTGTCTTTCTACTCTTCTCATCTAGAAATTGTTTTATACTAAAAAATTTTGGTTTGTTAAAGTGTAAATTTCTTAATAGCACTTTCTAAGTTCTGGACATATGAATTTGAAATTTGTTTTTACTGTTTTATTTTGAATAAACAAATAGTTTTTAGTGAATGAATTAAAACTTGTTATATCTTTTATTTACCAAATTTTATATTTAGTTGAACTCTTTTAATTCAAACTTCTGAAATTTGAAAGGTTATTTAAATTGAACAAATTCGTCAGTCCCTTAAGGGTTTAACATTTAGGATTGAACTCCTATAATTAGAAAACTCTTGTAATTAGAACATATTTTGAGACCCCTTGAAGATTTGAATTAACCAAGTTCAACTGTAGTATTTATTGTCTAGGTAACCAGTGATTTTATAAATATACCTTTTGCTGTATATGATCCCCTAGCCTGTTGGTAGTTGTTGCAATAGATTATTTATGCTATGTCATTTGGGGCTTAGTTTTTAGTTTTTGTCTGGGTACTGTGTGAACATTTTATTGAAAAAAAAAGAGTTTTTAATGATTTTTTTACTTTAAATGTAACCTTTTTTGTTACTTTAAATCATTTAAAGATATAACAATTAATAGACAATAATAATTTATTTAAAGCAATCAGACATCAGATTTAATGAAAATAGTTGTGAAGTCAAGGCTTTCCGTAATGCACTCAATGAACCAAACATGTGTGCTTTATTTAAGAAATTTATCAACATTCATTACTCTGAATTAGAAAAAAATTTAGATTTTTGGTTAGAAGTGCAAAAATACAAGGTAAAATTTTTTTCTTATATTCAATACTTTTTTATGATTTGGAAGGCGACATAATAAGTATTGATATACTTTTCTTTTCTTTTTTTTAGGTGTATTATTGTAAAAATATTGTTTTAATTATTGTTTATTTTGTATGTGCGCATTATTATGGTAAAACTGTTAGATTTTCTAAAAATCATTAGACTGAAATACTCATAATTTAACTCGAATATGTTTTCCAGATTTTAAATGATTGATTACAAGTTTGCAAGGTTTATTTACAGTTATTTTGGTTAGGTTTTTCATATAGTGTTCATGACTGTTACACATTAAGAGACACAAAAATTCATATGTGTACAAATATTTCCATTCTAATAAAAATTCTAAATTATAAAAGCAATTACTTTTTAATATTGGGTTCTACTTATATTAAATTATAGTCTAAAATAAAGTTGATAATTGAATAACAAAAAAGATGATAACGCTTTATTAGACATATTTTTGTGCACTATAATTTTTTGTATTATTTTTTTTTTATGTTATTCACCTACCCAAGGTCGAGAGGCTACTTTAATTATGGTTAAAATCCTCTCTTAACTCTTTAACTTCGAAACAGGAATCTTGAAGAACAAGGCAGTATCGCGCTGAAGTGCAGTAGTACCGTGCTGGAGTGCGGTACTTCCAGGGATGTGGGGGAGATGGAACTAGGATCGAAAATTGAACTTGCGTTTGAAGCGAACGCTCTACCACTACATTGCTACCGCATACTTAAAGAGTCAACAGCTGTAAAATATCAGAGTACAATGCCATATTACGCATGGACAGAACTCCTGTTTATTTTTTTGGTGTGCATTGTTGAGGCCATATTTAGAGCCCTTTTTTAAGGCTTAAGGTTTGTTAATAGTAATAAAGCAATTGCTTGGATTCTTAAATAGTTTACTAAGCATTATCTGTGCTTTGAGTCAAGTTCTTTAAAACAAATTTAAAAATGACTAAAGTATCAAAAACTATAAAACACAAAAAACCATCATCATCACCAAGTTCTCTAATCCTATTATTCGCTAATATTTGTGGTCTTTGAATAACCTTTTCTTCTATTGACTCTTATCTCTTACAAAGTTCACCAGACTTTATTATATTTTGCTCTCCTTCATCTCAAGACTCTTTTTGGTATTATTTCTGATCAAATTGACCTTTCTCTTTATCTTTCAGCCAATATTGTTGTTATTGGTGGCTTTAATGCTCATCACACTAAATGACTTGGTTCTAGTTTCAGTGACTCTGCAGGCGTTAAGGTCCACCACCTTGGTTTTCTCAATCTCTAACACAAATAGTCAACTTTTCAACTCTTATTCCAGACAATCAGAATTATTTACAATTTCTACTCGACTTATGTCTTGTTTCTGATCCTAGTCAGTGCTCAGTTTCTCAACATTCACTCTAAGGTGTTTCTGATCACAGCTTGATTTCTCTAAAACTGTTATCTCATTCTTATTTATCATCAGAATTTCTTTATCATTGTACCTCTTACAGCTACCTTAAAGCTGACTGGGACATTCCGTGATTTTCTTTGTGATGGCCCTTGGGTAAAAATCTTTCATCTTCTTGCTGACAAATATGCTTCTAACGTAACTTCTTGGATTTAGACTGCATGGAATCTTTTATTCCCTCTCGACAATTCCAAGTCAAACCTCACTCTTCACCATGGTTTTCCTCTCATTTTGCTGCTACAATTTTCAATTGTAACCATTACTTGATAGATAGGGATTAAACCTTACTTGATAGATGGGGATTAAATGATTTATCAAAACAAGACTTTATAGATGGGGATCAAACCTTCGTGAGCTTCAAATGTCATAGTGTGCTTAGAACCACACTTACTAAAAACAATACCAGTCACAGGATAAACAAGTGTTAAGTACTGATATCTTTAAAGATAAAAGAAAATTACCCCTAAATATAGATATATATATATATACATACAAATATATATATATATATATATATATATATATATATATATATATATATATATATATATATATATATATGTATATGTATACATATATATATATATATATATATATATATATATATATATATATATATATATATATATATATATATATATATATATATATATATATATATATATATATATATATATATATATGTATATATATTGGAATTCCTTAATCAACATTACTTGTAATATATTTCAGAGCTTTAATTAAACTTTGTACATGATCTATCTAACAACACCATGCTGTTGATTAGTTATAAAGTTATTTTCATGAAGATGTTTTTAAGTCTTTTTTTATTGTGTCTTAAAGTATTTTAAAAGTAATACAAAGAAGCAACATAGATCTATTATTTTGAAAATCAGTCTTGTCGCTTTTTAATATATTGCAGTTATTTATTATTTGCTGAATTAATTTGATTAGGTAGTTGACTTTTTTCTATGGACTCCATAAAAATTAGTGTAAGAAGAAGAGAAAAAGAAGTAAAGCGTTGCCATGCTCCATCAGTATTGATTGCATAAAGCCAAGTTTAGTTATTACTGAACTATTGCCATGTAAAAAAATAGCTTAAAGTCTTACTGTTTGCTGTCAAGAGGAGAATGAATCAGCTACGTATAATTTGCAAGACAATGTAAAAAATATAATTTTTTTTAAAATAAAATAGAAACCAAATGAATTTAGTTTTTCTATTATCAACTATTTATTTAATGTTATATGTATCCAAACCTCAGGCTTTCTGATGGAAAGTACTGTTCTTAAATTTCTTCTTCGTATTGATAAAGATCTGACCTTCAAAGCATTTCATTGTGGAATTAAATGTACTGTTATGCCTTTATCATCTAACCAAGTTTATATTTTGAGCAAATTTTTTTCACATTCCAGAAGCATTAAGGTTTTGAAATAGCTGTAAAATAACACACACAAAAAAAAGTTATCAACAAATTTTGTATATAAAATATATTGGGGAAAAAAGTATTCAAACAACTGTATAAGCATTAAAACAACTATGTAAGCATTTGAGTATTTTTCATGATCAGCCTACAATGGCATCAGAGAAGATTCTAAACTGCCAAGCTAACTTACTTTAGGAACAATTACATCTAAATCTTAGTCCTTAGATGATACCACTAATATTGGACATATTTTCCTAAATCTTAGAAATAAAAGACAAAAAACATGCATTTTACTTCTTGATGAGGTTTATGTTAAACCCATATTGCAGTACCATCATGGCATACAGTACTGAGTTTTATGACTATAAGGTTGTTTAAGGAAACAAAGTTTCTCTACAAAATGTTACCAGTTGCAAAGTATGATATTAAGACTATTTAATTAGACAAATCTCATTGAGAAAATTTAAAATGTGTGCATTCCAAAGGATAAATCCAAGGTAAAAAAATGAAATTATTAACTGCAGATACTGATATTTCTTTAGCTCAAACCTGTAATGGTTATTAAAATATCTTTTAAAAAGCTGTTTAGAAAATTCTGAAAATTTGGTAAAGGTTCAGAAACATAATTCAAATTTGTTTAACAAGTTCTTGAAAAAATACCATATAAAGTTGCTGTTAATGTTTTTGCTTTTTTATCAAAGTTTTGATGTATTAAACAATATTGATTTAGATTTAAGATGCCACAAGTAGTGATTTTTTGGAATTCAGAATATTCAGCTATGTGCTCTGCCGAAGCACAAAATATTCCGTGACACTTAGTTGTTTTGAGGATTCCAACCTGCTTAATTGAAGTGCATATGTTGACTATACTGTGAAATTGGTTTTACCATAAAACTGTTCGTTTAAATTGGACAGCAAACTCTTAAAAGTAATGATCAGTAAACGCAAAGCCTTATCCTAACAGAACTTGCTAAAATTTTCTTATTGTTTGCGTAATTTAATTTATTGCATATAAACGCATTCATTTGCTATCAAATTTTATTTTTTGATAGTATTTTGCTGTTTAATAAAATACATAAGAGTTACTCGTTAATAACATCAATAAATTAAACAATTTTAAAAAACAGACCGGAACTCAAAAAATATATGGGTCATGCAATGAAGAACATAGCAGTAATTGTAGAATGTTGCAGTCCATTTTAAATATCAAATATGCCAATTATTTTTTCAAATTAAAAAAAGAAATAGTTGTATGTTATTCTTTTTAATGCGATTTTTTTTCCATTACTAACTGGTATTTGGCAGTCGTTCGAATAGTTTGCAATATTTAAATTATTTTAAATTTTTTGTGTTTTAATAATTTTTATTGTGCTTTAATAGTTTTTAAATTTATATGCCATAATTTATTATGTCAAATATTGAATCATAAAAAAGGTAGTTAAATAGGCTAAATACTAAATAGTCACCATCATATTTGTGCATCTCTAGTTTAGATCTTGTCCAAAATACCTCCTCTGAAAGATTCAGGGAGTGTTGATATTAAAGGACATTAGTTTATGTTGCTAGGTGCATTATTTGTGAAGGTGAAAATCCACGTGATACCTTTTATTTTTATATAAATATTGCAAAATTTTTTACAGGAAATAAATCAAGGAGGTTTAACTATTAACAAAGTCTTCTACTGGGCAACTTACCGCAACATTCTTTTTTATGAAGTATATAATAAAACTTGCTTATCATTATGTAACCCCCTAATATAATGATATCAGAATACTATTCACTAGGTATAAAAAGACATAATGGATTAACAATCACATGCGTTTTTCAATAGCTATTGTTATCTTTATTCACCTTGTTCATATAAGGAAACCAAACAGAATTTGTTAACAAATATGTACAATATTTCAAAGTTGAAGCTGTAAAAAATTTTGTTTTACAAATGTATGAAGGTCTCTTTTTTTATCAAAATTTTCTTTTAAAAAATCCACTATTAAATTTTGTGGTAAAAGTTGAAATTAAATTGTGGCATAATAAATTTAAAAATTATTAAAACATATTAAAATAATTAAAACAAAATAAAATAATTTATTCGTCAATAGTTTCAACACTTTAGTTGAATTTAAAAAATATTTTTGAATAAAAAGTTTCAGTTTAAAAAAATAAAAGATTGTAAAAAAAAAAAATGTTATTTTACTAAACTTAATTTGATTTTTTAAAAGTTTTTAAGAGATTTATCATACAAATATACTCGGCAAAAAATTGCATAATTTTTTAGACAGCCCTCTTGCTGAGAGTTATTTTTAATTTTAGTATCTTTGCCACAGACATGTAGATGATCATATTATTGAAAATAAGTTTCGAGCAATAGTTGATGTTTTTATCCAATCTTCAGTTCCACCTACATTACAAATAGATATCACTCATGAAATAGCAAACGAACTGTTATCAAGAAAAAGTTTAAAAAAAGCTCAGCCGTATGTGTTTAGAGAAGCCCAGGTAAGATGTAGCTAATTGACTTCTGAAATTAAAAAAATGAAATATGAAATTAATAAAGAATTTATTTCATTTGTTTTAATCTGCTCATTTCATTCCATTCATTTATTTCATTCCACTCCATTCATTTTCTTTCATTTATTTTATTCTATCATTCTATTCTATTTGTTTCATTATATCATTATATCAATTAACTATATTTATTTTATTCTTTTCATTCCATTAGTTTCAATCCATTTATGTTACCACTCTTAAGTGGGGACATGTGGGGACATTTATTAATTTTCAGAAATTCACCTCCCCCCTCCCCCTCTCCCCCTTCACTCCAAATCTCAAAAATTAAAAAAAAAATCGGAAAATACAAATATTAGTCACTGATAAGAATAAAAAATTTCAGTTTAATTAGGCTTTATATATCGTCAATCTTTAAAATGTCTAGTAAATCTTGGTTCGTCAAAAATTAGGTTTTGGTTTATTTTTCACCATAGTATAAAACTTATATAAACATAATAATTTGTATTGAAATTATGATAAAATAGCTGTTTAAAAAATGCTTAATCTACCGCAAGCCGTACTAAAATTAAGTTGTTTCATAGGCGTTCTGTAAAAATTCTCATCCACCCTTTTGTTCAGATCCAAAATCCCTCCCCCCGTACACCTTGTATTAGGCACTTACAGTACATTGTTCTCATTCCATTCATTTCAGTTACTGTTAATTATTTTGAATTTATGTCTTGTTTGATTTTTTTGATAGGCTGAAGTGTTTCGCATTTTATTTTCTGCATGGGCTGACTTTGATCTCTATCGAACTTCAGGTCAATTTAATTTGAAGTTTCAAAATTTAGTTTTAACTCTGAAAACTGATAACAAAGAAAGAGAAAAATTGAATATGGAAAGTTGGAATAATGAAAACAAACCAATAGAAACTAAAGCATTTATATACAAGAATGAAATGAAACTGAAAAAACGGTAATTTTTTTTAAGTTTCTAAAAAGTGTTTTTTACTTTTCTATTAAATTAATTTTTTCATTTCATTTTTTCTGTTGAGGTCAATCAATTAGTTTTGAAAAAAAGTGTAGAAATTTAAATAAAATTCAAAAAATTTATTTTCAAATTTTATTTAAATTTTTACACTTTTTTATTTATTTATTAATATGTCAAATAGTGAATACTCAAATAGTGAATATTCATCAGATGGAACTAGTGAATCACAAACGGCAACGTTTATTTATTCGAAGCATATGGCTGAAGAAAGATCTTTTAAAAATCTAACGAAAGTGGAACCGATAGAGGCGTTAAAAATGAAAACAATTAAAGTGTCAAAAATAAAAGATATAACAAACCTCACAAATTATACGAACAAGGTTCCAAGTAACAAAGGTAAAATTATAAAGCTTGAGGACTTAAATATTAACATCATTTATAATTAAATTTTTTTCAATAAAAATCTTTCAATAAAAATAAGATATGGTTTGTAATTACCCAAGGTAACTACAAACCATATCTTGGTTGTAAGGGTTTTCTTGTTTTATTTGATAGTATGGAACAATTACGGGATAAAATACAATCCTTAACGTCTTTAGAATCATAAACTCTAACAACAACTTATTTTGAAAGTTGGTTAAACAAACATTTCGGTTTTTAACAAAAGATTCACTGCAAAACAAATCAGTCAATCATTTATATTCTGAAAATTAATCTCATGTATATTTACAAATAGTAATTCTACTAATTTTAAGTAAACACCAAAAATATAGATCTTTATATATAGGGGAGAGTTGACAAAATTGGAACACTTGCATTTATTTTTGAAAAAAAAAGAATTATGGCTACATTTTGCATTTTTTTAGTAAAACGCATTATTATCTACGTTTTGACACATTTTGAAAGTTATTCCTAAAAAAATGCATTTGCACCAATGATTTAAAGGTTTTTTGCGTCATTTTTTTTTCAGTGATCTAATTTTGTGTTCACACTATATTGATTGCGCTGGGTAAACTATGGTGCTATAGGTTATACCGTTTTTTGTATTTAATTCGATGGGATTTAAAATGCAAAATAACAATATAAACTTATCTTATAAGTTGCTGCAAGCATGTTATTGTAGTGATATAACAAAAATCGAAAGTTTCCTTGATTGGAGCAGTTTTCCTTATCTAATCAGTAATAAAATCAAAGGGTTGTAAAAATAGTTTCAGTACAATTAAAAAAATACTTAGTAACCATAAACCCTAAAAAATCAATAAATTAAGAAAACGTCATAACAGTTGAAGCTTTATACAATTTTTTGTTTGTAGACTTTAAGTTTGTAATACTAATCCTATAATAAGTTTTGAATTAACTGTTTAAATTTTCAAAACGGTGAAAATCATTTTTTACAAATTTTTGTTGATTTTACTGTTGTTTTTTTTTTAAAAAAATAACCTGTTTTGATTAAGGAATCAAAGTGTTTTAATTTAGGGAACCAATTGCCTTGATTGGAACAAAATAATATTTTTGAAAAAATTATTTTTAAGTCAAATTGTGGTTAAAAGTATAGTAGGGTTGTCTGTTTGTATTAATCAAATCATAAATGTTTTCATAGTTAAGCCATCTTTGGTTAATAAATATTTATTCCTTAAGTGTTTCAATTAAGGCAACTCTCCCCTATATAGTAATAATTTTAAGAATAGTAATTATAATAATAAAAATAATGTTTATAGTAATAAACATAAGAACCACAATAATAATAATAAAAAAACAACAATAACAAATATAATAGTAATTATAATAACAATAATAATCAAAATAATAAGTCACTTGTTTTCATAAACACAAAAGCTAAATATACATATAAGTTACTTACAAACAGTTGACTGATAAAACGTAACAACTAACAAGGACATAAAACAGTTATTTAAATTGAAAATAATAAAGTAGGAATAATAATAGTAAAGTTAAAAATAATAATAATTGAGGTTACGATAAATATTTAAAATTAAAAGAAATAATGCTTTAACAAAAAACATAACAAAAATATGATAAAAATTAATTTAAAGTTTTAAAGTTTCAAAACAAGTTAATTTAAGCTTGCTTGCTCAACTTGCTTGTTTATTATAATATCTTTAGATAAATCATGTAGCAATGGATCCGTCAAATTACCATTTATACAGAAATTGCGAACTACAAGATCTTCAGTTCTTAGCAAAGGCAATGAAAATGTAAAACGGCTACCGGCTAAACGGTTACCTAAACCAATGCTGCCTGAAGTAATAGTATCTTGAATTAAATTTTTAGTAAAAAATGATCTCAATAATAAATTTGAAATCTACATAGTGTCGGTAAGAGTGTTAAACACTAGACTCCTGACATAAACGGTATTATCAGTTATCGATTTCTTAGTTAGAAATTTTTAGTTATATCAAAGTATTTTCTGGTATCTACGTTATTAATACGTTTTAATTAAAATACGAATTTTTTTATATAATTATAGTTTATAAAAATATAATGAAATAATAAAAAATTTATATAATATAAATGAAAGCTAAATTAACTTTTAAATTAACCTTTTTTTTTGTCGTTGTTGGCTTTTTTTTTGTTGTTGTTTTTTAATTTGTTTTGCTCTGAATCATTAAAAATATAAATTATATTATTATTTTTTTTTTAATGTAGATCCTGCATGTTAAGGGATCGTTTATAAATTACGCAATCCAATTTATATTTAAAAAACAGAAATAGGAAATATTAAGTTTTTTACGCGGCGATTTTCAATAAACTTAATGGGTTAATTTAATTTTTTATTTAAATTAAGATTCTACGAGGGAAAACTTTTGATCTTTTTTGTTTTGTTTATTGTGAAAGTTTGCGTTACGTAATTTATGGACGATCCTTAAGAGGCCATAGGGGGGGGGGAGGGGGTTGAGATAAAAAAAAAAAAAAGACAAGGGGAAGGGGGAGGTTGTCAGAAAAGGACGTCACTTCATAGATTTTTTATTTTAGTTTAATTAACATGGAAAACTATGTAAACATGTGTTTTTAAGAAGATAATGTATGAGAATATTTTTAATTTTATTTTTCAAAGGTGTAGCAGCAGGTTCAAACATCATTGCGAGATGAAGTAAATTTTTTTAGAGTTAAAAATAAGAGGAGGCGAGATTTTATGACGTCCTTTTCAAAGGGGAATAAGGAAAAAAGACAACCAAAGACAAAGGGGGAGGGGGTCAAAAATTTGGTAAAAAATGGTGACGTCCTTTATGTATGGTCCCTAAGAAAATTTTTTTGAATTTTAAATCAGCGTTTCATCTTAATTTTAGGTTAGGAATATTTTTTAAAACTATTTTTTCAAACTAATTTTTAAAATTAGACAACGAAAACATTTGTCATAAAATGATAGCCCATCTTACAAAAATTAAAATTAAATAGTTCCCCTCTTTGCCTGTATTAAATATTCCTCAGTACATTTTATATATATATATATATATATATATATATATATATATATATATATATATATATATATATATATATATATATATATATATATATATATACACACACACAAACACATTCTTTTAATTATTATTATAAATCGGTTATTTTATAATAATGAAAAATTTACCATTGACCAAAATAATCTCTCAGTAAAATATTTATGATGCAGATATAGTTTTTAAAAGCGGTTCCGTAAAATACATCAATTTATTTTAATAGAAGATACCTTTATGTTGTTTTTTAATAATTTTTTTTTTTTTTCCATATATTTTTACAACTACATAGCTTTAACAATACATACTTTTATTACAAATAGTTTTAACAATATATACTTTTTTTACAAATACAGTCAAAATGCTTTGAAAATAACTGAAATAATACTAAGTAACTTGCCTACACGATATAACTGTAATTGGTATTTGCCTACACGACGTTGTCGTAAGTTAAACGTATGCAGGACGTTGTCGTAAGTAAAATGAGTGTGCATAAAGTAATAAAAATGTAAATGATATTTCTTTACAATATGTAAATGAAAAGCACACAAAAAATCTTAAAAATTTTTAAAAGTCACCAGTATAACTAAAATTTATGTAACTTGTAATCTCTTGATAGATTACTTGTTTACTTGTCTAGAAACTTATCGTTTATTGCATATCTAGAATCTTATATCTAGAAACTTATCGTTTATTGAAAAAATTGGTAAAAGTTAAAACATTGGAAAAAAACTTAATAAGACCTTCAATAAATGAATTTTCCACCTCAGTCATGCATATAGATATATCTCAAGCTTAGAGGACCTAAAGCGTAGAATTGAAGTAATGACAGCAATAGATACAATTGGATTATTCATATTTACTGCTGTAAAATCATACTTTACAAAAAATAATGTTCCTTTGAATAATATTATTGCTTGCTTTAGGGTATAGTGAGGTAATCTCAGTCTATTTTTACTTATTTTTGACTTTAAGTAAAAATTACATATCGCAAAAAAAAAAAATTTTTTGAAGAAAATTATCTTTAAATCATGATTAGACATCATTTTTAGTAAACTAAATCAAAAAGATTTATACATCATTTTTATTGATTTCTAAAGAGCATAAGTTTAAGTTGAGAATGGTCAACTTAAACTTATGCTCTTGATCATAATGATCTATGGACCGCGTTTAGTGGGGGTCTAAGTAACATTTTTATCTTTTTTAAAGAAATACCTTTATATAAATCAAATATGATGAAGAAAGTAAACGTAATTGATGGATATGAAGACTTATAAAAAAATGCCAAGTATGTGAAAATAGGTATTTAAAACTTATAGTAAAATATGACTGAAGTCAATATGTATGTATTATATTTAAATTAATGAATTAAAAGTTTAAACATAATAAATGTTTAATAGATGTTTTAAGCGCAAAAAAATTTTAATCGTTCAAGGCGCTAAATTAGAAACGCAAATTGAATATCTTTTTCTATCTCTGTTAGCTAGTTTCTAAGGAATATATTTCATAGTTTTTTTTACGAATTTTCTTAATATATAGAATAAATCATATTATAATTCTTCAAATTGAATATATGATACTCAATTTTAAAGCATGGTGAAATTATGTTAAAGGAAGAATTTAAAGCAAAAAAATTAATAATTGTCTAAAAAATTTTATGTCGTATATTAGAGATTCATTATTCTACAAAAATGACAGTTTTGTTTTTTTTGTTTTTTTTTCCTCATTTATTTAGCCGTACAAATATTTACAATTTCCATATTTTATAATATATATATAAATGGCAAGGACAATAAGAAGACAAGTTTGCCTTATCACCAAGTCCCTTGTTTTTAAGACATTTATATAAATACATTGCAACTAAAATTTAAAATTAAAAATGAGGGAAAAAAACAAAATAATTCAAAGAAGTTTATACAAAATGCAAAATAGTTTAATAGTCTCTCGAAGTTATTTTTAAAAAAAGTTAAGGGAGTAATTTAATCTCAATAACATGAAGGTTAACTTAACGCAATGCTATTTATATGCAAATTTCAAAGTTATTTATTGAAAGAAAATTTAATAATTCATTCAAGAAAACAAAAACCAACAGCAACAACAACAAATATATATATATATATATATATATATATATATATATATATATATATATATATATATATATATATATATATATATATATATATATATATATATATATATATATATATATATATATATATATATATATATATATATATATATATTAGGGTAGGTCGATTTTAGCTTTTTTTTTTTGAATTTCGAGTTGCGTAATGTTGCAGTTACTGTGTCTAGCTTAGAAATAAGGTTTTGCCAAATATCAGGTGTTCTGGTTTAAAAATGGCTTGCGGATTTACATTTCAAGACTTAATATTGGACTAGCTTTGTTAGATTGTTTATTTCAAACATTGAAATATTTTATTTTAAGTCTAGTAACCTCGTTTTAAAGTATCTCGTTTCGAATTTTTAGAGTAACCAATTAACGATATTTTAAAAAGCGCAATTGTTTTAAGAAGCCAATAAATTTTCGCTAAATCGTTTACACGCTTTTAAATTTCAATTTTGCTAATCGTTAAATGTTGGTTTTAAAATTAAATTTTTTAGTATTTAAGTATTGAAAAATAAAGTATTTAAAAGGTTCAAATATAAAACTACAATTTAAAGAAATAGTTAAATATCAAAGGTAAATACTTATGATTAATATATTTACAGTAATGTTTTTACCTGATTAATATTACAAAAATTTTTTTTTTGCACCTTTTAAAATATAAAAGTTTCAGAAAGAACTAATGTTAACTTAATTCATAAATAACTTATACTCTCATGGGCCACGGCGACGGGGGGAAAAGGGGGCTGAGGGGCTATGGCCCCCAGTTTTTTTCAAATAGACCTTTTTTTAAAAACTAGATTTTTTGTAGTAAGTTTTGATATTTTAGGTTTTTTTGGTGTTTTTCCCCCTCCCCCACTAAAAAGTCACGCCGTGGCCCATGGCTCTAAGTGCTATACTTTAATAGAGTTTACATATATTATTAGTATACAAAAATGCCGAAAGTTACGACTACAATTACACGGATGAAAAGTGAAAAAAAGTATTGCGGTGGCCCATGTGAATTATCAATGACAGATCCAAGCACTTTTAGACAGGTTATTCAGTACTATTACTATCTAATTCATGTGAATCCAAATGCAGATATCTTATCAGTGACTCAGCAAATTAGCAATAATATAAAATCAATTTGGGCTTCAGTAAACCCAAGTTTACCTCTTATAACTGACAAATCTATTAATAGGAAAGTAAAAGATCTTCTCGTACTTGTTAAGGATATTAATCGCAAGCACGGAAAAGCAAGCGCAAAAAGAAATCTTGATGCTAACTTGGACAAACTCTTTGATATTTCTGCGTGTTCCTGTTCATTAGATGTGTTTCCCTGTAGTGATAGAAAAGTTTCTTGCAATAAAGAAAATTGCATTGAAGAACATATTGTATGCCTTTGCTCTCAAAGTAATAAAGTACCTCTTGAAGACAGAGCTTATCTTCGTGATCAGAGAAAAAAAATTGGTCCAAAAGGTGCATATCAACTTTCTTCCGTTGATAGATTATCTGTCAAAAAGACTCAAAAACTTGATAAAGAACGAAAAAAAATATTTCATAATTTAGTTGATGAAGATGAATCCCCTATACCACATGTAAACTTAGTTGAAGAAGCAAGTGGTTTATCCAATACGGAAGTAAATGTTTTATAACTACATGATATATTCGTAGTAGATGAAATATAAAGCATTTTATTTTTTTAACTTTTTTAGGATGAAGGTGAATGGAAACCAATAAATAATCCTATTGGAAAATACAACTTGGTTAAACTTCCAAGATTTGCAATGGAACTAGTTAGAAACGAGTGCTCGTCAAACGTAGG